TATATACCATACCCAATACCGCAGTACAGTATGAGGTTTAACATTTAATATTTAGATTTAACTGTGACATTATATTTAACATATTTCAAATATTGCTGTAAATGTGGTAAAATGTGACTATAAAAAATCCACCCCACTTTTTTTTTAAAGTTGTTTGAATCTAAATGTGGCAAAATGTTGCTGTTAATTTCAGTGCGAGCCACTTTACAAACGGCACCCCACACCGTACTGCGGTATTGGGTATGGTTAATATTACCACGTGCATTAGCCAATGTGAAAATTACTATGTCTTCATTGCTTACAGTAAAATTGCAGCCACTATGTCTCTTGCAGACTCACTCATATTCACTAGGTTCTTACTGCAGCATCCAATACAAGCATACAGAGGAAACACAAGATGGTGCTAGTGCCTTGATGACGTCAGATTTCATTCCATATATTCTGTCTTTTGTTCAATATATTCAAGGTTCATTCCATATATATAGACATTCATTCCATATATTCAAGGCTCATTCAATATATTCAGACTTTCATTCAATATATTCAGAATTTCATTCCATATATTCGGACTTTCATTCCATATATTCGAGGTTCATTCCATATATTCGAGGTTCATTCCATATATTCGGACTTTCATTCAATATATTCAGACTTTCATTCAATATATTCAGAATTTCATTCATATATATATGTATATACACACACACACAAATATGTATATACATATACATACACATATACAGTACAGGCCAAAAGTCTGGACACACCTTCTCATTCAATGCGTTTTCTTTATTTTCATGACTATTTACATTGTAGATTCTCACTGAAGGCATCAAAACTATGAATAAACACATGTGGAGTTATGTACTTAACAAAAAAAGGTGAAATAACTGAAAACATGTTTTATATTCTAGTTTCTTCAAAATTGCCACCCTTTGCTCTGATTACTGCTTTGCACACTCTTGGCATTCTCTCCATGAGCTTCAAGAGGTAGTCACCTAAAATGGTTTCCACTTCACAGGTGTGCCTTATCAGGGTTAATTAGTGGAATTTCTTGCTTTATCAATGGGGTTGGGACCATCAGTTGTGTTGTGCAGAAGTCAGGTTAATACACAGCCGACAGCCCTATTGGACAACTGTTAAAATTCATATTATGGCAAGAACCAATCAGCTAACTAAAGAAAAACGAGTGGCCATCATTACTTTAAGAAATGAAGGTCAGTCAGTCCGGAAAATTGCAAAAACTTTANGGATGGTATCTGTGTCATCCGCTGTGAGGGTCCTAAAGACAGAGGGATGTCGTATGCTGTATCCCGTGAGGCAAATTGTGATTTGTGATATTGGGCTTTATAAATAAAATTGATTGATTGATTCATCCTCAAGCTCGGGTCCTCTACCAGAGGCCTGGGAGTTTGAGGGTTCTGTGCAGTATCTTAGCTGTTCCTAGGACTGTACACTTCTGGACTGAGGCTTCAGATGTTGTTCTTGGAATCTGCCAGAGCCACTCTCAGTTTGGGGGTCACAGCCCCAAGTGCTCCTACTACCACAGGGACCATGTCAACTTTGACCTTCCACATCTGTTCTAGTTGTTCTTTCAACCCTTGATACTTCTCCATCTTTTCGTGTTCCCTCTTTCTGATGTTGCTGTCAGTTGGTATTGCCACATCTACCACCACTGCCCTCTTCTGGTGTTTGTCAACCACCACTATGTCCGGTTGGTTAGCCAGCAGCTGTTTGTCAGTCTGGAAGCTGAAGTCCCACAGGATGTTAGCCCTATTGTTCTCAACCACCTTCGGTGGTGTGTCCCATTGGGATTTGGGTACTTCGAGTCCATACTAGGTACAGATGTTCCTGTACACTATGCCAGCCACTTGGTTGTGCCTCTCCATGTGCGCTGATCGTGCCTGCATCTTAAACCCTGCCACTATGTGCTGGACCGTCTCAGGGGTAGCTTTGCCCAGCCTGCACCTTGGGTCTGATCTGCTGTGGTAGACCCTGGCCTCTATGGCCCTTGTGCTTAGGGCCTGTTCTTGTGCTGCAATGATTAGGGCCCCCATGCTGTCTGTCAGTCCAGCATTCTCCAGCCACTGTTAGGTCTTCTTGATCAGCCCCCTCTGCTATCTGATGGTGGTATGCACCATGTAGGGGCTTGTCCCTCCATGTTGTTTGCTCCTATATATATATATATATATATATATATGTATATGTTTTAATAATTAATTGCCTATTTAACAAAACAACCAATTAGAGCAGAGGAGTCTCCAACACAGCTATCAATTATGTCAATCACGGCTCTTGAACTGTGGTCACACTATGCAGTGCTGATCAAATATGAATCAAGATTCTGTTACTGCATTGCCTGTTTCTAACCACAAATGTTTTCAGAAACATATTTTAGCATACTGTTTAGCTGAAAAAAAAAAAAGAAAACATTTCTGACCTGGCCACCATATTGGGTACAGTCAGACAGAGTACCAGGCACCGCCCACCAGCCGGACCAACTTTACTCTTTAATAATGAAGACAACAACTCCCATGCTACATCACATTGTCATCAGAGTCCAACGTTTGTCATTGTTTTGATTGAGAGACCTCTAGTGGCAGAAATTACATATTGTACCTTTAACATGAAAATATTGATAAGTGCAGCTTTAAAGTTAACAGAAGATGGCCATTGCTGTGAGCAACACATGAGCAAGTAAGGCACATGGGAAAAACAAACAAACAAACAAACAAACAAACAAAAAAAACCACTGCAAATGATCCAGCAACACATTTCTGTGTAGTTAATGCAACAAATAAAAGACTAGCATGTTGACATGGCCTTATTCAGTCAAGTCTAATAATAAAGTGACGTCATTAACTCAGTTTTTTCTTTTTCCTCCAGATAATCAGGTGCTTTGAAATAAAACCAGACCCCACGATGGGAGAGCTGAAATCCATCAACCGCACTGTTCTGGTACCAGACAAACCACTTAACCTACATTTTGTGGACAGAGGATGTAAAAATGCAGCTTAATTTGCTTTTGTAATAAAGAGTAAAGAAAGATCTTGTAATCAGTATGTTTGCTGTTTCCTGATCTTGTACCTGGCTCACTTAATTTAAAATCAAAGTTGACACTGTATTTCATGATTTAATGATTATTCACAGCACTTTCACAATGAAGGCAAGAATCTGTTCAATGTGTGTGTTTTGAAAATTTGTAATTCATTCTTTAAGTAACTGCAAATGAATAACTCCAGCCTTATTTCAGGTAATTTCACAGCAAATTTAATATACCAGATGTCTAACCATATGGTTGCACCTTGCACCGCACAATACAGTCTTGTATATTTTGTATTCATTACTAAAACCTACATTGCTGCAATTCAATAAAGACATTGTGATGTAACAACAATCTTGAATGGATTTTTTTAAACGCCAAATCTGAGACTGTAAATTCTTCAACGACTCCAGTGATTCCAGTGACATGAATGTGATGCATAGGTTAACACAAGAGAGCCTTGTTCAGCTGAAAAACCAGTTCGGGAATGTTGTTTACAAGAAACTGAATCCCTCCACCACTTAATTAGGCGGTGTTCAGAATGGCATACATAGACATGCATATGGCTACTAAATGACGGATTAAGTATGCTATTACCAACAGACTCCCTGCATTCCAAATCACATGCGTTTTCACTATCAGTGCATACTGCAGCTGCCCTTACAAAGTATGTATTGTTGCATGAAATATGCATACAATTGGGACCTATGTACTACTTCATCACATCATTTCACCTTGAACCTTGACCCTCTTGCTCATATATCTGTTGCAGTCTTTACCATTAGCCTACCTTGGAGACCCAAAACGTCATACATCGAGCTTAAACACAATCCTTTATTGTAACAGATAACAAGAAAACACAGGAACAGATCAGGTAGAGGCTGAGGCTAGGACTCAGGTTCAGATGGCTTGATAGAAAAAGCATAAGCATCAGAAACAATCTGGCAGGAAATGCAAGGAAATGAACCAGTTTCATACTGCAGGGCTGAGGAGGAAAATTGGACACAGGTGAGCAGGTGAATGACAGAGTGAGGTGAGTGGAACAGGTAGGAAAGTCTGGGGTCTTCTGTTGGATGGATGGAGAATGGCAATGCAGGCGGAAGTAAAAAGTGGCCCACAGGGGTGTGGTGACACAGGGACCTAGGGGCAGACTGAATTATATAAACATACAGTAGCATACAGTGGCATTTTGACCAGGTGCAGGAGTGTCCTGACAGGGAACATCTCTGCGTGGTGCAGAAACAGCACCAAACAGGACTGCAAGGCTCTGCAAAGAGTAGTTGTTCAGCAGTAATAAGACCAGGAGAACTATTAAAGATCCCAGCCACCCAGATAACTGCCTTTTCTCCCTGTTGAGATCGGGAAGAAGGTCCTGGATACACCAGACCAACACTGAGAGGCTCCGGAAGAATTTCTACATTCAGCCCACAAGGATACTAAATGATGACCCTGCCTGTTCTAAACACTGACATTTATCTATTACTACTACCATTGCAATTTGACAGAACAGACAACTATTACATTTCACTGAAATCATATTTTACAATTCCATGTGACAAATAAATTGATTGACTGAAATCAAATGACAGATTGATTTTTAGGACTCCCATTTTGAAGCCACGAATCCAACATTACAGCTTGCTCTTTCATGTTTTTTGGAGCCAGAAATGTTTGTATTTGGACAAGAGGCTGGAGCTGTGGAGATGAAAGGGGTGGATCTGACCAAGACGCCAAGACACTATCATAGACTGTATAAATAATAGGCGTAGCTTCTGTGATATCACCCATTAGTTTGTGGACTGCCGTTTTGAAGCCTCGTGTTTGTCATTTCGGTCGTTGCCATCTTGTTTTTTTGGAGCCAGAAGTGACCACATTTGATCGAGAGCCTGAAACTGTGGAGGAGGGAGGGGTGGATCTGACTCACAGACTGTAGTGCCGTCTCACAGACGGCCTGTCACTCAAGTGGCCTTAAATATGCATAACTTTGAGCCCCTGTACAGTTATGATGAATGTTGAAATTAGCTATTGACCAAAACCTTTTTTTCTCACCAGGCTGCAAAACATGTCTGAGGGTCTGTGGGGATTTACTCTGTTTTGGAGACAGCCCCAAGTGGCCATTTGATGAACTGCAGTTTTTGGCACTTGAACTTTGGCTTCATTTTTCAGGCTTGGAGGCTGTCGCTTGGACACTATTGGCAGACAGACAATCACTCAAAGCAGCCTGCCTTTAATTATGTGTAACTTCACGCCTTAATAAAATGTAAATGGGTGATTCACATAAAAAACACCCACCCCTACAGTTGTCATAAATGGGAAAATTAGCTATAGAGACCAAAACCATTTTTTGTACCAGGCTGTAAACATGTACAAACCTGTTATAAACATGTTCCACTGTAAAGATGGCCATTTTAAGATGGGGGTCGATGGGGATCAAATGGCTGTTGGAGCTAGCCTCAAGAGGCCACTTAAAGCAGTTTTTTGGACTTCCGTGTTTGCTCAATTCAATTTTATTTATAAAGCTCAATATCACAAATCACAATTTGCCTCAGAGGACTTTACAGCATACGACATCCCTCTGTCCTTAGGACCGTCACAGTGGATAAGGAAAAACTCCTCCAAAAAACCCTTCAATGGGTAAAAAATGGCAGAAACCTCAGTAGGAGCAATTGGGGAGGGATCCCTCTTCCAGGATGGACTGATGTGCAATAGATGTTGTGTGTACAGAACAGATCAACATGGCAGAGTTACAGTAATCCATATGATAAAATGATACATGAAGAGGGGGAGAGGCAGAGAGAGATGCAGGACAGACAGTAATGACAATAGCTGCAATAACATTAATTTAAGTAATATAGTAATATAGTAATATAATAATAATAATAATGATAATAATAATAATAATAAAATATTTTGGTAGCATATATAGTAGTATATTTTAATATATGGTAGTGTGTGTATGTGACAATAAATCTATAGTAGTCGAAGTATGACTAATAATAATAGCAGTAGAAGTAGGCATCAGGCAGGACCATGGCATCAGCATAACCATGACTAACAGTGAGACATAACAATCAACTACCTTTCTTCAGAATTACATACTGCTCCTTTAAATAATAATAAAATAAGTTTCCCCATCGCTTCTTACAACTACTTCACAAACCACCCAGCAGAGAGCAGCATAACTGCATGAAAAAAACAAAGCCCTTGAACTTCAGTGTTACCGAAGGGATTTTTGCACTGTACAGCGACTGATCTCAGTTTAGCTGTTTGGTGAATCATCTAGGACTGGAGGTCATCTATGAGCACAGGCCACATGTGGACTTCCAGGCCCAGTAGACCCACCAACTGATATGAAAATACATTTTAAAAAAAGTCACTTTCTTTCACACCAAATTAACTGGAGCATATTTAGTTGTAGTTGTGGGGGTGAGGGGGCTGAATATTAAACAATCAGGCCCTTCTGTTTTGAGCGGCAAACTAACAACCAATCAAAACCATATGAAAACGCAAACGTAAAGGTGGGAGAGAAAGAGAGAGAGAGAGAAAGAAGAGGGAGGGAGAGAAGAGGGAGAGAGAGAGAGCGAGCTGCAGGCTACCTGTTTGTCTCCACAGTCTGTCTGCAGTGGGAAGTCATTTCACCTCAGTGTGGCAATCACCCAGCGCATGGTGCCTGAAAACAAGTGGGAGGGAAACTCATCGAGACGTCTTTAAAACTTCTTTACAGTGCTCGACTGACAACGCAGTGATGCCACACCGCCCGTTGGAGCTGTGTAAAGTCACAATAAGTTCCCACAGCTGAGGCGTGAAAGAAGGGAACCGAGCGGTGAAGTTTAGTTTGAATGGGTTTGGACGTGTGCGCTCTGGCTTTGCTCGGATGGGATGCACAGTGAGCTTCATCTGCTGTGAAGAGGACTTTCTGCAAATGCCTGCTTACCAGCATGAGGAGGAGAAGAAGAAAGAGAGCCCGAAAAAGGTAAGGACTGCTGGCGCTGGAAACGCGCGGGTGGCAAGTGCGTGCAGACACGAGTGGGCGTCAAAACACTGGCTGACAATAGGGGGCTGCGTGTTTGTTCAGGTTGTTTTCGCTGCAGGGTGGACATGTTTATTTGCATGTAAATATGTGTTTTATATTGTCTGTATGTCGGACTTGGATTTGGATAAGAACTTAAGACCTTTGATTCCATCTGACAAACTAAACACAAAGACTGTATTGAGTTCTCTAAAAGCACACACAGACTATCAACAGCAATAATAAGCATGTTCAGCCATCTCACATGGTAGACTAGAGTATAGCTAGTGATTGTTGCATAAGTAAGAGGCAGTTTGTGCACACGCATTGACATTATAGGCATTCACATTGCCTCTGTGAGTGAATGAGTAAACCATCAGCCACAATGACTGCAAAGGAACCCCAAGTTCTGTCATGCTTGCACTCCAAGACAAAAAGCACATCCTACCTGTACTAATGCAATGGAAATAATAGACTGTTTCTTCCTCTTCCTCTCTGCTGGTGTGTCTGTGTTGGTTAGTTAGATTTGAATATGAGAGTGCTTTGCGGGCAGAGGCTCTAAATTCTGCCCTGTGGAATGTGGTCAGTGACCTGCACTGATTTCCCCTGTCTGACCCAAAACCTCACTTCACACAACAGACCAGTGTTGATGTGTTTCTTGTAATGTGATAATCAGCTCATGCCTTGTGTTTATATGAATCCAAACCCATCAGAGTTAATGTCACACTTAGATATGTTTGAAAAAGTCTTCCAAGCTCTGTATGTAGGTAAACAACACTCCCATCAGCATCTCAGCTCCTTCTCCATCTAGAACACTTGTAATGTGATGTGTGCCAGCCTGATCTTGAAAGTGTCAGATTGTGGTTGTAACAAGCCTCCCTATTTGGAGTTAATGTAGGATTCAGGACTTTTTCCCCACTTACAGAACTAATATGACATTATATTGGTTGTATAACATGAACAGAC